TTTTAAATTAAAATGCGAATATTTGAGGCACTTTTTTGTTTTAAGTGAAATTTGGTGTATACTTTATGTCAATACGTATACGCACCGGGGAACATCTACAATGAATAGACAAGGTTTGTCTTCATTTCCAAATCTAATTGACTTTAATTATACGCTTCAATACACTGTGGTACAGGGTATTATGTCTTTGTGCATATGTTTGTAACAGGCAAAATGAAACGAGATAGACACATGGTTCCTTTTGAGAAGATGCATAGAATCATTTTTTAAGTCGATTTATGCATGTCCGTCCGTCCATGTATCAAAGTACAGGTCGCATTTTTGATCCGATTTGGATGAAATTTGGCACAGGTCACTTATTTGGCCCAAGGACGAACCCTATTGAAATTAGGAAAAATCGGTTCAGTTTTAGATATAGCTCCCATATATATTTTCGTACGATTTCAGGTAAATTCCCTATATATTCTTCGATTTGCACGAAATTTGGCACAGCGTACTGATTTAAGCCTAGAACGATGTGTGTTAAATTTCGTGAAAATCGGTTCAGATTTAGATATAGCTCCCATATATAGTGCACCAAAGTCCCTATATATCCTTCGATTTCCACGAAATTCGGCATAGCATTCTGAATTAAGCCCAGAACGATGTGAGTTAAATTTCGTGAAAATCGGTTCAGATTTAGATATAGCTCCTATATATATTTTCGTCCGATTTTAGTTAAATAGTGCACCAAAGTCCCTATATATCGTACTGAATTAAGCCTAGAATGATGTTTGCCAAGTTTCGTGAAAATCGGCCAAAATTTAGATATAACTCCCATATATAGTTTTGTCCGATTTCATGTAAATGGTGCACCAAAGTCCCTATATATCCTTCGATTTGCACGAAATTTGGCATAACGTACTGAATTGAGCCTAGAATGATGTCTACCAAGTTTCGTGAAAATCGGACCTGATTTAGATATAGTTTCGTCTGATTTTATGTAAATGGTGCACCAAAGTCCCTATATATCCTTCGATTTGCACCAAATTTGGCATAACGTACTGAATTGAGTCTAGAGTGATATCTGCCTTGTTTCGTGAAAATCGGTCCAGATTTAGATATAGCTCCCTTTTATTATAGATTGATTTTAAGTAATTGACGCACCAAGGAACCAATAGTAACAAAACGTTCTAAAGTTAGTATAACCTAACCTGTGACAAGTTTGTTTGAAATCGCTTAATATTTGGATAGAGCTTCCATATAAATTTTCGCCCGATATCAAGCAAATTGGGCATCATACTCATGTTAGTCAGATTGACATCAAATTTTGCACAACGTACAAAATTGAGCATAGAATTACGTAGATGCGTTTTCTAGAAGTACAGACATAGCCCAACGGATGACCTATTTATATTTGTTTGAAGTCGATTTACATACTTTATGGATAGATCTAGGTAGATTCACATTTAGATAAATATCACTTATTTTATTTTCATTTCATGTTAATAGTCCTGTTTAATATACCCATAGTGGTGAAGGGTATCATATAGTCGGCCCCGTCCGACTTTACTACTTTCCTTACTGGTTTTAAAACACATTAGTGAGTAGTTCGATGATCGAATTAAATAAATTTATTTTTTATTCTATTTCTAATATTATCCATTGCTGATATAGAGGTTCACGTTTGAACTTCCCTCATGGATTCCTCTCCTGTCGTGTCTTATTGCAATAATCAGGGCGGCATTCTGGTAGGTCTGAATTTTAATTAACTGTGTATCACTTTCATTCGGAAATCACACTGACGCCTCATACCTATTACATTTTAAGGCCTGGACTCTGTGACAGCGCTCCAAATACTGGTGGCTTCCCACTTGAAGATCTGGTTCATAAATAGGCTGTCGAGCGTTACACAAAATATATTGGAATAATTGGTGGTCGGAATCGTTTCTCTATCGACAATTATATTCAGCGGGAGTTCACTTCAGCCGTACCAGCTACGAGATCCAGCGCGGCTGTAATTTACAAGACTCTACGTCCTGAACGTACAATCGTACATGTACTTTACGAGCTCTATGCCGTGCGGTGGTTGTAGGATTTCAGAACAGTTCTGGAGAAATCACCCCTACTTGGGAATGTTTCACTTAACGTGTCTCCGAATTCTTGATTCTTAATATAACGTAAAGAAGATTGTTTGACATTATTTATGTATGTGCTCAAAGAGTTTGCCATAATTACCGATATAAAATACTTTCGATAGGTTAAGAGACACTATAGCTGTTCTGGTTAAGTACTATACTAAAATTGTGGAAATGGAGTGTCTGTCCTAATACTGGACATTGTACGAAGTTCATGTTGATGTTGGTCTAATGGAAAACGGTTTCTCATCAATGGAAGGGGTATCACCTCAAATGTGTTTGATATCGACGACAGAAATGAAATCGGTTTGTGCGATTCGCAAAAATTGCCCACAGACGTGAGGCAACGAGATCACCCTAACTAGGTAAAAGGAAACGAGATAGACACTTGGTTCCTTTTGAGAATATGCGTAGAATCACTTTCAGAGTTGATTTATGCATGTGAAAAAAGTTCAGGTCGCATTTTAGATCCAATTTAGATGAAATTTGGCACACGTCACTTATTTGGCATAGGACGAACCCTATTTAAATTGGGAAAAATCGATTCAGATTTTGATATAGCTCCCATATATATTTTAATCCGATTTTATCTTCATGGTGCACCAAACACCCAATATTTGTCAGACCGAGACAAAATTTTGCAGAGCGTACTGAATTAGATAAAGTTTAATGTCTGTGAAGTTTTGTTGAAATCGGTTCAGATTTATACATAACTCCCGTATATAGTTTCGTCCGATTTTATATAAATGGTGCACCAAACTCCCAACATTTGTCAAATTGAGACCACATTTTGACAGTATACTGAGTAAGGTCCAGATTTAGATATTTGTCCGACCGAGACAAAATTTTGCAGAGCGTACTGAATTAGATACAGTTTAATGTCTGTGAAGTTTTGTTGAAAGTTTTGTTGGTTAAAATATCGATTTCATTTCATAGATCCCCTAAAGATGATATGTCTGATCTAACTACAGGATATTGTATATATTAACATCTCTTGTATGTACCCAAAGTGGTGAAGGGTATCATATAGTCGGCCCGTCAAACTATTGAACTTTACTTACTGGTTCTTCATAAATTGTGTTGGTACCTCCTCGGCTGGGAGAATGTTCTCTTCGCCCAGTAACTCTTGCCTGATAACTTGAAAATTAAATTCTTTCACCTTTGGATCTACATTGGATGTACGACGACGCTCGGCTGATTCTAATGGAAGTTTGGCCTTACTTCAGACATTCGACCAGTAGTTATATATCGAGCGGCAACAATAATCACCTTTTTCGGAAATTCCTCTCTGAGGAGATGTCTAGATTTTTGAAGCATTGGAAACCTATTTCAAACCTTGCCGATGAGCATCCCCAGTATTCCATCTTAGAATATATAAAATACGGGAGATTCTGACGGATCGCTATGTAAAGTTTCTCAACATGTTTCCCAGTTGGTCCATTCTATTAGCTTCAGTACATTAATATCAACGAGACAAAGTTTCGAAATTTGGGCATAACGTATCTTGTAGAGGTTCTAGGTCGTCCGACACCACATACGTCGTTCATACCAAGTTGACCCTCTATCAAAAACGTTTTTTTTTATAGCGTTTACAATACCCGAAATATTTATGTCGAATTAACAATTTCCGTCTGTTAACATCACGATAGAAATCACAACTTTTTCAATAAAGATGCCGGAATTTTGAATTTGGGATTTCTGGTCGTGACCGCAATCTCCCACCGAATTGTGTGTAATATGGTACTACGAATTTTGGAAGGTGAAAACACCTTTGCAGAAAATGTTATATTTAGGTCCATTTTTTTACATAGCCCCAATTTTTGGTAGCTGAATTTTACTGCCGAAGTGTCATTTTCCGTCAAATTTTACAACCTTTTAATTGTTTTCAATATTTTTTTACTATACACTGTACTCAATGTTTGAAATGCAGCTAGGAATTTGTTACAAACACACATGACACCCAAAATCGATATTTTCATAAGTCATTTCCATTGGCTGTAGAGCAATTTTGATTTTAAATTTGAACTCAATATTACTGCACTTTTCAATGTTTCAATTTTTGTTTATTGAAATTCCCACTAAATATATTCCCACTTTCAATCGAATTTTCTCTTTCCTAACTATGCTGGGTTCAAACAACATTTGTAAACTTGTTAAACTGTTCACAAGGGACAACTGTCACTTCTTTCATTGAACTAGAATATTTACACAATTGTCATAAATATGAAATGTGCTGATTGCTAAGTGCAAAAATGTAAAATTGTGTAAAGCATGAAATCGTTACGATGTTAAAGTCAACGACCATAAACAACATAATTGAATTTTCAGAATCGCATTTAGGAAAAAAACGTTGGAATGTAGAACATTGAAATTTATCGCATTGGATGGGATTTGTAAAAACATTTTTCGATGGCAGTTATTTTCGGCATATTATAGATTTCCAAATATAAATTTCGTAGGACAGCAGAGAAATATTTTTAAAGAAAATATGACAAAATTGAGCATATTTAACGATAAAGCCATAAGATGTTTTTTTTTTTAACGTTCAAGGCTTATTTGTAATCAGAGTAGAATATCCACACCTTTTTTTTCCCCAGTTATCATAGTCTATATCTAATAAAAACAATTCATTTTCTTCTTTAAGTCTTTAAATACATGTATGCAATGTTACAATGTATGTTAATTTGCCAGCCGGTTGAATATTGTCGAATTTTGAAACCGAGGAGGATCCTCGTAACTGCATTCAAAGTATAACCTTAATTGTAACGTATACGTTACACCAACATGTATACGCTCTATGGTCTAATGATATTTTCTTAATTAATTTATTATTTTCTTTATATCACTTATTAACTTTAATTTTATTTTCTTATTGTTTTCCAGTTCCCTGCAATGCGAGCCCTTTCCATATCTTCGGCAGATGCATTCATTTTGGTCTATGACGTCACAGATGCAACAACATTTGAAGAAGTGCGAATGATACGCGATCAAATACATGAGACTAAGGGCACCTCAGCGGTCCCAATTGTGGTTGTGGGTAATAAAATAGATTTACTAACTGAAAACAGTGATCTAAGAGAGGTGAGTTAAATTACGAATTAAAGTGTAAATTTAAATAAATTAAAAATATATTTTGAGGAATGTGTATTTCGAATTAAGGCGAAGTTTTTTGCTGCCGTATATGTCGTTTCTCCCCCTGATGATACGTTTCTGAGGCAATCTGTAAATTATGAAATGTTGCAGAAAACTGGTAATTAAAACATGCAATGAAATTTACGGACCTGCGCAGTAGGGTTGACCGACATTATGTCATCAATACGGTCTCATTACAAAATGAGACGATTAACCGAATTCTGAGTAGCGATGGAGGATATTGATCGCCAAGGCAATATTAACTCTGTATCAGTTGATCGCGTCATCGACTATATCAGCGTGTGTACTACTTCGGCTTGCATAAAAAGCATGTTGATTAAAAGGCTCTTTCTACATACCAGGTGGAACAAAACAAATTATATTCACGCGATATTGTTCTACTGCCTGAGCGACTTTACCTGTGTGAATGCCATTCAGATCTGCTTCATATTCTTGTTGATGTATGGGTTCAAGCCTATATCTTTGGACCTCTCTCTCTCTCTCTAGATCATAAAGATCTTTCCAGACGTTCTTGGGTGGGTGAGATATGTCCATAAAGCTGTGACATAGGTGCCCTCAACGATAACGCCTAAGCAAATGCTGCATCGACAACATATGGAGGGTCAGGTCTTCGTCTCTTCATGAAAATGACCAACTGGAGTCATGAGGAGACACCCTGTTACAGTTCTTTAAGTAGCATTCTAGCAGGTCTGGATATTCTTCCACTGTGTGCCACTTACATTAACAAACCACACTGGTGCCGCATAGTTTACCACTGGCCGGACTATTGCTTTATAAAAGGTCAACAAGGATTGCGTGTAAGCACACCAAGTTCTCCCGACTAGCCACTTGAGGACCCTTATACCCTTGATCACACTGTGGTACAGGGTAATACGTCTTTGTGCATATGTTTGTAACAGGCAAAAGGAAGCGAGATAGACACATGGTCCCTTTTGAGAAACATAGAATCACTTTCTGAGTCGATTTATGCATGTCCGTCTGTCTGGTCGCATTTATGATCCGATTTGGATGAAATTTGGCACAGCTCACTAATTTGGCTCAAGGACGAACCCTATTGAAATTGGGATAAATCGGTTCAGATTTAGATATAGCTACATATATATTTTAAGGTAAATGGTGCACCGATTTAAGGTAAATGGTGCACCAAAACCCCTAAAATAATGTGTGCTAAGTTTCGTGAAAATCGGTTCAGATTTAGATATAGCTCACATACATATTTTCGTCGGATTTAAGGTAAATAGTGCACCAAAGTCCCTATATATTCTTCGATTTGCACGAAATTTGGCACAAAATCCGATTAATGTAAATGGAGCACCAAAATCTGAATATATTTTTCACAGACGACTTTAAATCTTCCCGAATGAAATTAAATTTATCATAGGTTGCAGAAAGACCTGAGTATGTACATTCCAATTAACATTGGCATACAATTGTAAGGATACATATGTACAATATACCGAAATGGTGAAGGGTATCATATAGCCGGCCTAGTCCGACTTTATTACTGTCCTTACTGGTTCCTAATTCTCAGCCTATTGCATAAAAAAGTGGCGTGCTTGTGGTCGACTTGAAAATGCTATCGTACGCTACACCCAGTATTTTGGTGTAGTTTGTGGTCGAAATCAGTTTTTCGTCGATCGTTATGTTCGGCGGGAGCTTCATTTCATCCGTCCATTTGATGAACTGTGTGGCTGTTGATATTGTAACAGATATTGTAATATTCCTTAGATGGAAGATCCGACGCCATGATTGTACAATCAGCAGCATATATTTCGATCTCTATGCTGTCCGGTGGTTGTGGAATTTCAGAAAGGTAGAGGTTATACAATTCCGGAGCTTTGACCACTCCTTGGGGAATTCTCTGATTCAGTCTACGTGGTTTGGGCTTCCTTTTTTCTCAATTCATACGAATGGCGGGCACACAAATAGTTGATTACCCATCGTTCCAAACACGTCGGAGATTTGTGTTACGTCCTCGAAAATGTAAGCATGATTGAAGGTATATAAGGCCTTCGATAGGTCAAGTACCACTATAAATATTCGGTTGCACGGCCTGTTCTAGTTGAATCCTCCACCACTGTGTATGGAAATGGCGTGTAATGCTGTTGTTGTGCTGTGCATTTTACGGAATCCATGCTGATATTAAGCAACTGGAAAACTGTTTCTCAGCGATGGGAGGAGTAGCGTTTCAAGTGTATTTGCCCTTGTGCGACGTAGTACATTCCTTTTTGCCCTGCTACTCTCGGGGTGCTCAATTAATTGAATAAATAAAATAACACGTGCACCTATATCAAGTTACGTCCTTATAATGTGACATCGTAACCTATGCTGGGAAGTTTTTTCTTACTTCGGATATTCGACCAGTAGGTATTAACTGAGCGGCAGCAATACGGAATTTTTTTCAGCTATGCGAGGATCTAAGGGAATGGGCAGCTCTTTGAAGCGGTCGATCGGCATGGTTCAGAGGTAATAAAGTCGGGTGGCCTGTTCTCGGAGACGATGATTGGATGGGGATGATTCCAAGAGGAATACAAAGCAAGGGGTCTTAAATAACATGAATAGAATCTGTCAATGCTGTGCCTTTTTCCAAGATCAATAGAGTATAGATACATTCCGAAAGCTAGTCTTCACCACACTATAGCAATTATTAGTAAGTTCTGTAGATTTTCCCTATTCTCTGGCAGATTCCAAATTTCAACAAAATGTTTAAACGTTTTTTAACAATTGATTCCTCTTCATCCTCTTGAAGATTTAATAAAATTTCTTTATCGAGCAAAAAGCAACAAAACAGAACTGCAGAAAACTACCTCCAAGACAAATATTAACACCTTTTTGGGTTCTCCTCAAACATGATGTTCACACCCACAACCAAACGAAAGCACAAAGCAAACAAAGCAAATGGATGTGGAATGTTTTAGACATTCCATCTGCATCATCATCATCGAGACTTGTGATTTTTGCACATTTTACCTTCGCAGAATTCCGACACAAAAGAAAGCTGCCTCCGCACAAAAAAACACACCGGATTGTGCGAACAAAATACCACCATACCAAAATACAAATATAAGCCTACTCACCAATCTAATGTCCTTTTTCATTTTTTGCAAGTTGCCGATTTTTTTTATTTCGTTTCCATGTAAATTCTTTTGCCTTACCAGAGTGTTCTTGAAATGGCGAAAAAAAAAAATAACTTTACACACGAATGAAGAGTATGTGTGTTAACAACAATGAATGTAAGATGAACTTTTTTCCAGCTTTCCACTCGGTATCGTATCATCCATAACCACCAATCCCATTATGAAATAGTAGAAGAGCGAAAAAACCATGGCAGCAAAATTTTAAATGGAAGAAAATTGATTCTCGTCGTCCCAGCTGTTCGGGATAAGGGAACATGTTTCCGCAGTTTTTTGTTTTTATTAAAAATTGGTCATACCATTTCATTTAAAAATACACGACGGAATGGGACAAAACTAGAGGCTACCAACAGAAAATACTGCAACTATTACCACAATAAGGAGAGAAGTTCAATATGAAATTTTAAAGTATTTTGTAAGAGGACCCAATTATATATTATTTCTAATTGTATTTTGGGGTATCCAAAATTAGATTTTAAATAGGAAAATGTGTGTCCCAACCTGCCCCTAAAAGCATTTTAAAAGTTCACGGTCTCCAAATTTTAACTATAATCCACAAAATTATGTTGTGAATGTTTTATAAGCTTGTGTTTAGCTCCAAGATTTTGTAACGCCTCGAATTATTGGTCATAGACCACCTATAGTAGGCCTACTGTCATAAACCCACTACCCACTCCAAGATTTTGTAACGCCTCGAATTATTGGTCATAGACCACCTATAGTAGGCCTACTGTCATAAACCCACTACCGTTCGCCTGTCTTTAAAATTCTTGGTATATGAGGACTAATCCGAAATTTGGGCCAAAAATATATAAAATTACACAGATTCGCGAATACATCAATCCTATAATTGATGTTTGGAAATTCGTGAAATCGAGCTTCAAATTTTCAGCATCATTTAAAGATAGATTGAGATAAATTTTCGAAAAATGATACGTCCTCATTTTGTAGGCTTTTACTTTGGTACGAAGGCTGTGAAATGAATTGCTTTGGCACAAAACGAGAAAAAACATAAAAATATATATCACTCTATTTTTACCCATTTTATATCCTACACCATAGTATGGAGGGTATATTAATTTTGTCATTCCGTTTGTAACTAATCGAAATATTCAGGGTAAAATTCTAAGGCGTCTGTCTGTCCGTCTGTTGTAATCAAGCTATCTTCGTAAGGAATCGAGATAGAAAGCTGAAATTTTGCTAGGGTTGTCAGACAGGTCATCTTCGAAGATGAGCCACATCGGTTTACCTTTAGGCATTTTGGGGTTCTAGAGCGCGTATTTGCTGAAATTTGGCACATTCGGTTTTTATTGGGAACCAAATGTCTGGACTAAAAATTACAAATATTGGTTCACTTTTTTGGTAGCCACTATATAACGGTACTCCCCAATTTTCCCTATTTTGGGGTTCTTAAGCGCGTATTTCAACCGAATTCTCTGAAATTTAGTATATTGTGTTCTTATTGAGTCCTAAATCTCTCCACTATAAAATTATAAATATTGGTGCACTTTTTTCGTTAGCCCCCCTAAAGCGGTACCACCAATCCATTTGGGTGTAGTCCCCATATAACACCCTTTTATACCCTCCACTATAGTATGGAGGGTATATTAATTTTGTCATTCCGTTTGTAACTCATCGAAATATTCATTTTCGACCCTATAAAGTATATATATATATATATTCTTGATCAGGGTAAAATTTTAAGACGATCTAGCCATGTCCGTCCGTATGTTGTAATCACGCTATCTTCTGAGGGAATTGAGATAGGGTGCTGAAATTTTGCATAGGTTTGTC